AATGGGCCCTTAGTTGGGGGATATGATAGTTTGTAACAAAGGTGTCTAAATGTGGTGTTGACTTCCTGTCTCCTCTCCTGAGATGATGAGTCAATCTTCCCTGGTTGATGACACTCCTGGGGAAGAGATCTATGACAATTGAGTTCCTTTAGGCAGATAAGGGAGCTCAGAGAAAGCCTCTCCCTGTATCTGCCATTTTTCAAGTGTCTACAGCTCAAAATAATTAATATGCCAAAGTGGCTTATTTTTGGGTGGCATATTCTGCTACTCTTCATAAGCTAAGACAGAAAACAACCATAAAACAACAGAAAAGGGAGGACAACATACACATCCTCCAAAAGGCTCCTTATCTAACAAGAACAACCAGTTATTTTTTTGTTTTTTAACAACAGCACTGAAAAGAGTCTGATTTGTGATATGTAAAACAAAAGGGCAAAGTTTCATTAGTCCTTTTCTCTTTTTGTTTTCTACCTCTGGTGGAAAGACGGATTTTATCACTCATGATCTAGGTGTGCCCAACCAAGGTTAGTATGAGTAATGATAGATGCAACATTCACCTCTTCTCCTGGCCCCTGTTCTCCTGTCCAGCCCCTACTAAGATCCAACAGGGAGAGAGTCCACTTCATGATGGCTATTCACTGTTCTCTTTATTTCCTCCTTTCCATTTGACCCTGAACTAGTCTGTATTTTCTCTGACTCTAACTTGTTACATCAAAAGCGAGACCTGTCTCTTTAATCCCTTTTAAAACCTAAACAATTCAAGAAAGTTAAAGTCTTAATTATTGACCCAACTGCTTTGTCTTCACCCAGGTAGTCAATTTTTAGTTATGCTAGGAATAAAAATTCGTTTTGTTTAGATGATGTTGATCATTACAAGGTCATCTTTGTTTAATTCATTTAAAGCAGAAAATTCAAAATTAAAGCATATTCTTTATGAATCTTGCTTTTTCCTTAATCTCCCAAAGTGAGATAACCCTAAACAGAACATATTTCTTAAGAATTCATTACACATAAGAAAATTGTACATCAAAGCAAATTTGACTACACTGTAAGTAATTTAAATTAAATCTTGTAAAATGTAACTAAAGTTGTCAAAGTAGAAAAAAATGACCTTCAATAGAGTATTTTGAAATCTGTTTGCAAATTTTTCATAACCGGAGGTGCTTTCCAATTAATCATCAAGGCAATGGAAGCCATGCTCTCTGTCTTCCTCGTTCTCATTTTTTCTACATGCTGTTAGAATAAAAGCCAACAGCCCTTAGTCGTTCTTTCTTAGTATTGTTCCTTAAACATGTTTTCCTGTTGATCTTTATTGCTTTAAATAGTATGTGTTTTCCATTTGCCCTGTTAAACTCCCGAGCTGTGTTTCTGGTAAATTTGTTTTTTCTTAAAGATTTTTCTTTTTTCCCCTGCTGTGTATGTGTAGCAGTGCTTTCTGGTGGGGTTCTCATGCTTGCAGTATTTGTGTACATGATGCTCAGGACTGTCTATGTTGATTTATCTCTTGGTATACCTCTAAGTGGGCAAAAGACTTCTCAGCCTCCTTCAAAACTGCTTTAATGGCTAAGTTTTCTGTTATTGTTACATGAGAAGATCTGAGAATCCACTTATTTCATTGTTAGGAACCTAAATCTAAGTCTGTGCCTTAATGATGACCCAAAACTGTGATTGAGTTTTCATCCAATTAACTTCTGAAGAATTATTTCCTTTACGAAAGTGCTTAATTTTATAGTGCATGAAGTATGTAAAATAAGCTAAAGACGACCACTGGGTCACTGAAAAATCTCTTTAATTGTCCATATTTTATAAACCTTTTGTTCATCTGGGAACGTTTCCCTTTTAATGCCTATTTAGGTTTCTTTTTTCTGTCAGGTTTGGCTAGAATCCTCTTCTATTTCCCATCTCAAGAGGCAGCCCATTTGACCAAGATATCTTTTGTCATTCTTGAAATTCAGTTGCTAGGCTGCCTCTTTTCTAGGCTATAAAGCCTGACTACATACAGTATTTTCCATAAACCAACTGGAAAAAAAATCCATTCCAAGTAGTCATTTTTCTTAAACAGCAAATTTTAACCATCGTCGTGTTAGAATGTGCCTTTGAGAATTAGATACCATAGGTAGGAAGAAGTTTGTATCACCATGGTAAGAGGACTTTACTGTGTTGTTTTCAATCTCTCTCAACATTAGTAGCTGTTTAGAGACTCATTTTCTAGGAACAGAAAACAAAATGCCTTTTTTGCTGTGTAATGTTCATACCATATCATTTGGAAACGTCAACATTTTGTTTTTAAAGTTATATTTGAGACATAGCTTTTAAAATTAATTTCAGTATAAATATTTATACAGCACTCAAGTAGGAGACCACTAGCTAAGAGATGGAAGATAAATTTTTAAAGTGAGTATTTTTGCCATTTAAAATGAAATGGGCACTTTAACGTTCTCCTTTTTTATCCCCATATTACTCTTATATAAGTCAATGTAATGTTCATTTGAGAGTTGAAAAAACTGGGACAGAGAAAGGCTAAGCGACTTGCCCTAGAAGCACGGAATAGAATGGCCAGGCTGGGATTATAACTCTGCACCTAAGTCTGATACTGCATTTAGTCTGTTGTGCTCCATTCCTGGTCTGAACAAATAACAGACAATTGTAGTGTTAAATTTTACATGATTGACGCTCAATGAATAGTGACACCAACAAGACTTACCACTTCTAGAATATGGCTACTCTCAGTGAGCAGGTTAAGGGATTTGGGAACCGAGATTCAATGTTTATGGTCACAAGGATGTTATATACTTCTACATGAGTGTACCAAGTACTGGCTCTGTATCAGAAATTGAAATCAGTTTCCCAAATTATCTAGCTTGTTTTCCAGGAGATACATGCTTCTTTTTTATATTCCTATTTTCAATAACAGGGAACACAAGGAACAGGTCTGAGCAGAAATTAGATGCTCAATTTATATTTTAATTGCAATGAATCAAATTAGTGAGTGAGATAAACAAATAATTTACTGTTTCCTTTGAGTCTTTGTGCTGACATCTCTGCATTATATCTGTGTTTATAAAGTCATGAGAACACAAACATGTGTCAGGTCACTTGGTCATCCTTTCAGATATTTCTCCCTTATAAAACATAAAATGAGGCATTCCATTAATAGCTTTTATTTTTATTTTTACCCTTAAATTAACCAACAACAATTTAAAATTTATGCAATATAATCTCCTTTCATCTCTTATTTTCTTTCTCTGTTCTCACAGATAGTAGCAGAGGTTGAATTTTCTTGAGCCTTTTCGGTCTATCCAGAAAGATACCATGTCTGGTTATATTCATATGTGCTTTCCTTTCTCTACTTCTAATTTAGAAAATAAATAATAAAGCCTCACTGAAAGAGCAGAAAGACTATTGGGGTTGGAAAGAAGATGATACTTTTTACATACATACTAGCATTCTAGGTGTCAGACACTGAAATCTAAATGGAGCAGTCTGTTGTTGCCTCTTATACATATGTTACCTAGCAGTTCATAGGTTACATTTCTCCCCTGCAAATTGAAATCTAATGAAGATTAAAGCTTTTTGCCCAGTTTCAAGAAACCATCAAATATTAACTTAAATATTAATAATGACAATAAAAAGTAATTCTTTATATTATGAATTTACTCTTGATCATCTAATATTATTAGCACTTCTAATTCATTTACAATTATGATTTAATGTATACAACTATTTTTTATTATATGGAGCATTATGTAATTCAGTCATAAATTGGAAACATAATATTTAACATTGCATTTAATGCAATTTGAAATTACAGCTCTAATATTAAAAAAAAATAGGAAAAACCAAATAACTTGTATTTTTTGCATTTTTCAATATCTAGTTCAACATTTCATTTAAAGTAAGATTGGGTCAATAAACATCGTAACTTAGTACTTTTATAGCACATATTTTATATTACTTGACAAGTAATTTTAATTCTTTATTGTTATTTTTAATTTGGTATAATTTATTGTTTCTGTTGGTATAGTAATCATTTCATTGACATACACAAGAAAATAAATCTGAGAAAAACATAAGGAGAAAAAAGATGAAAAATTATTGTTTTATAGAAAATCATATTTTATTAAAACTAAAGTTTCCATATTTCAGGTAATAAATATGTCATTCTGAATATCATATACTCGGTATATAGTCTTTAACTTTTCTAATTCATATTTCTTTGTATTAGACAGTAAAAAATAAATTTGCTTTTTAAGGAATTAATTTAAACCCAAAATTTATAAATTTCCAAAGAATACCATCTCTCCTTTTCCAAAGTCAATTTCTGCTTATATCATTATATTTTATAATAATATAGTATATTGCTGTGTTCTTTCAGAGATCAGTTTTCTTCTGATAACTCATTAAAATATAACCAAAATAAATGACCAACAAAGTCCTAAAGAAAAATTTTAATTAAATAGCTATGTCTATATTTTTCTAAATAAAAGCGTGTTTTCTTTCCATAGGTTCTTGTAAATACACTAACATGTTATTAAATCATATACACTGAGCTGTTCGATCCTACATTTTTAGCTAAAGGCACAAAAGTACCTTGTGATTCAGTTAGTCTCTATCACAAAAAACAGATGAAACCTATTTCAAGAGCAGTTTGAATGTGTGAAGAGTTGTTGGATTTTGAACAACTAGAAGTAGAACTGAGAGTCTTCAGAGACTCCTGAGAGAAAGCCTACTGTTAAGGTTTTGCAAACCTGACTGAAAATAATATATATCTTAGAGATATAACAATTCATTAAATAGTTCTAAAAAGCAACATTGATGATAATGATTTGAGGGGATTTGTGACATTATAACTATTTTAATTAATAACTAATTTTAGTTACACAGTAATAATTATTTGAGCACTCCCTACCCATTATTCTTAGATATGTTGTGTCTTTTGATTTTAAAAAATCATTGGTTTTATTTTTGAATACTTCTTTTCTTTTTCTCTTTTTTCCCAGATGACACGAGAACAATACATACTAGCAACACAACAGAATAACCTGCCAAGGGCTGAGAATGCACAACTGTACCCAGTGGGAATTTACGGATGGCGAAAGAGGTGCTTATACTTCTTTGTCCTTCTGCTGTTGGTTACCATGATAGTTAACTTAGCCATGACAATATGGATATTGAAAGTTATGAATTTCACTGTGGTAAGTACCACCATGATTTCATTTTATATTTATTGCTTTTGGTTCAAAGATGATACAGCTCTGTTATTTTATTTTTTAAATTGAAAGTTATTCATCTTAATCTTTACAAATAGATATCTTGAAATTCCAAAGGCTGTCATACATTATTTTAAGACTGAATTCAATATGTTTATTCATGACACACATATATTATTACCTGCCATTTAACTGTGGGAAATTTAGATAATGAGACAGCACAACACACTGACTCATTAGAGTTAGAAAACATTTAGCCAACAAACATGAGCCTATGCCCATGCTACCTTGAACAAGCCCGATCCCATCTGATTTTGGAAGCTAAGTAGGGTCGGGCCTGGTTAGTACTTGGATGAGAGACCACATAACAGGTGCTGTAGGTGTAAAGAATAAAAAATTAAGGGATTGTAAGCTGACAAGGTCCTTGCAATCTGTGAGGTCAACCAAGGGTTGCCTCGCCTAAAAAACAAACAAACAAATAAAAACATGAACTGTTGTTTGCTGTACCTAGGAATCTAAGAAATTAGTCTGTTTTTGAGATGATGTTTCATAAGAAAATTAATATTAGAAATCATAAATACCTTTGAAATACTTCATATAGAGTATCTGCCTCTCTACATCTGCTTCCTGTGTAACGTACTGCATGATCAAATCTAAACTCTAGAATTTTACCTGGGCTGCGTGGCCAATGTCTGTAATTGTTATCAGATAGTAATCTCATTCTTCTGGAGCACGGATGTGGTAAGAAGATACACTAGAAATTAAATCAATCTTTTATGAAAATTAATAACAGTAATAAAATAATCGTATAATTTATTGGTGAATTTTGCTTTAGTTTATTGAATGTGTACAATAAACCAATTAGCATGACTTATTTGGAAAAATAACTGCTTGGCATAGTCCAGTTTAGCTCATTTTATGTCTTCTGGCTAAATTTTTAAACTTCTCTACTCTGCCTTTAAATCATTCTGCTTTTACTTAGAGATCACAGATATCTTCACATCCACACAGGATGTATCTTTCACTTGCTGACTAGACTGCTATTATTCTTTAAAACTCTGCTTCCTTAGGGGCAAGTGTAAAGCTGGCTATTTAACTTTACTGATCTTTCTATATTGCATGTCACTTAAAAAAAAATCATTGCTGTGTATTGATTGAGCAAGAGAAGGTTTTTTTTTTTTTTTAATTTCCTGATATTACTAACATCTAACTCTTAACTTGAAATAAAATGTCAAAAGGGAAAATGAGCCA